GAAGTGATGGCCATGCATCAACATTCACTTCAGGTTTCCTTGATTGACAGGCCTGTCCTCATCTCCAGAAGAAAGCTGACTCCAAGCGATTAACTTCTATTCACCTTGGAGAGAACCTAGTTCCCTGTCCATTTGTCATATGCAATGACTATTAAGTCATAGGGGCAGGCATTTAAAAAGTGGGATTGTTCTTACCTGAGCCAGTGTCGGGCAATGGTATGCGGCATACTGTAAAGCTCACAAACTCAGATGTAAGGATTAAGGTGATGGCGACAGACAAGGAAGAAAAGGGCGAAATATTACTAAGAACATTGTCCGACGAGAGGTACTGACTTGAATGACTGGAGTGTTTTCAGAAATTCCGGAGACCCTTGATTGCTTTAGGTATATTTGTTGGTTCGTAGATTAGTACGTAAGTACGCACGCAAATATGTATGCATGTATGTTGGCTCGTATGCATGCATGCCTGTATACATGTTGGCTCGTATGCATGCATGCCTGTATACATGTTGGCTCGTATGCATGCATGCCTGTATACATGTTGGCTCGTATGCAGGTACGTTGGTTCGTCCCTACGTATACGTTACATAGAATATCTTTCAAAAGAGGAAGCTATTTATGTTACATGTATTATATAGTTTTGTACATATATAGGTTTATTGTCTTCTGTATTCATATTGGAGGAAACTGACATGGCTCTACCTTGGGAGGTGGGAGTATCACGGAATGACTAGCATTGGCAATATTTGCACACATGGTGGACACTCCCAAGTATCTTTATATGGGTTTATTTTCCCACACCTATGAGTGTTGTATGTTAAGATAGATTTAATAGACAAAACTATGTATTTGCAATTATATCTGTACAAATATACGCAATTTTACTATTTGCTGCCTAAGTATCTCATTCTATTATAGATTTAGACATTTAATTGCTTCTTCAATGTATTATTTTATACATACGTATGTAGAAAAATGTTTATTGTTTACTCAACATTCTATTAGTCGCTCCGTGGAGATTCCACGGGCCCGGCTAGTGTATATAAATAACATAACTGAAACCACAATATCTAATTCTACAGAATTACGTGGTTCCCTGTGTTAGCATTGGAAATGGCACTTTTGTGCGTAATATGCTGATCTGTAAGAGTCTTGTAGAAATTCTTACAAAATAAGTAAGCAGTAGATGATATCATTTTCATTTCAATCATTTCATTAAAGCTGAAATATATTTCCCAAGAGAGTAAAGGTAATAACTCCATTTTAAATAACGTCTACGCCGTACGCCTAGGAATATAAAAGACAGTTTGTATGACGAACATGAAAATGCTATTAAGGAATAATTGGTGCTTGATTGTGATTGGCGAGCCGGGGAGACAGTTGTTGGTCGATATGAAATGAAAACCGTGTTATATATTTTAAATTATTGACTAATAGAATTATTAGGAAAAGAAATTGAACGGACAGATGAGAGGAATATTCTGTACTAAAAATCTTGTTACAAACACAAATGCATCATTAAAAAAAAAAAAAAAAAAAAAGATGCCGAGCAACAAGTGAAAGTTATCTGAATAAAAAATATTTCTGGACAAATCATTTTAATGATAGAGAACGGCAAGAATATATAAACGGCAGGATCATAATCTACATTTTTTTTTTAAGTGCCGTGTTCCTACAGAAGGAGGGTGCGCGATCATGGCTCGCCACAACTTCCTATCATTTGTAACTCTTAGTAAAATTTGTTTTTTCATTATCCCATCTGCTATCAATTTACAAAAGTTCGTTAGGCAAGTTACTAAAGGTATGAATGAAACAGGATAATTTACCTAACGAACTTTTGTAAATTGATGGCAGATCAAGCACTGAATGGGATAATGAAGAGACAAATCTTACTAAGAGCTACAAAAGGATAGGAAGTTGGGGCGAGCCATAATCGCGCACCCTCCCTCTGTAGAGACGTGGCACATGAGGATTAGGGTCGTGCCTTGTATATATTTTTGCATTTCTTTAAGTTCTTTGTATCATTAAAATGATTTGTCCCGAAACATTTTATTTTTAATGCAACGTCAATAGCCATCTTCTGGAATCCGGTTCATCTTTTGTCCTTTCCTCAATCCTCCGTATTCTAAGTCTATTCTTTTTTTTTTTTTGTCTAATTTTCTTTGTAACCCTATGCGTGCTAGTGGTATTCCCGCTTTACTTGCGGGAAAGAGATTAAAAAAATTTTTTTTTTAAATAATAAGAAGGTGTTTAAATATTCGGTTGGAAGTATTTAAAAATGTTTTAGATAAGTTATATACAGGATTAAGAATTTGAGAAATTAAAAAATAAAAAAAATCCATTAATTCTTTATAATCTAACTAATATATTTATATATAATATATATATATATATATATATATATATAATATATAGTTTGTTTTGAGAAATGGTTTTCCGGAAAATATGTCAAAGCTTAGTTCGGACTATCGGCTGGTACTTGTGAAGGATATTATAGTAATTATGGGAGTGCAATGAGAGCTTAAAAATAACTGTTTGCTCCATCAAAATTACTTTTCTGAGAGAAGTGTTTGAAGCCACAGAGACACAGCATGATATATATATATATATATATATATATATATCTTCAAGAAGCAGACATTCCTTACAAGCTGTGTGCACATCTAGTTGTGGATAGATTGTCGATAATTTAATCAAAACATGCAACCTTGGTTAGACAACAAAATGGAGGAACAATTGAAATTTGTAATTTCATAAACATTTGTTTCAAAATATGTTTTCGTAGTTGCTTACTTCACATTATAACGGTTTTAGAACTAGTGTTCATTTAACTTGTGTGTGTGTGTGTGTGTGTGTATGCATAGCACTGCAGCAATATCAGATACAAGAAAATGCAGTTTCTTGTCCAATTTTGATGCCTAACTCGTTCGAGATCTACCGATGCTCAGACAAATATATCAAGGACTAAATAGAAAGGAGATCCCGGCATATGACGATATCAGGAGAAGCACTGAGTGGTGAAGCCAATATTTCTATGACTCCAAACAAGACATAACAAAAATACATTTTTAAAAAATTCATTCACCACTAATTTTGGAGATCACAAAAACTGATGACCAGACTATCAGAGAAACAGAACCGAAGAAATAATTCGTTAGATTAGCATAAAATATAAAGAAAACATAAGATGGTTAATAAAGCGATAGAATCCGGTGTCTCGTATATTTGCCGAATGTTTAACTAATGCGATGACTAAATTTGGTGTCTAGTGTTCAGCCTACAACCAGCTACTATTACTTAGGGTCAATCCCTCTAGGTCACGAAGAAGGCATTAATACCGGTAAAAGGACACATCCGCCATCCTAAACCGATGAAATTTATCGACTAACTGGGTCTTATCCAAGACAAATTAAACAGGCTTGTCTACCAGCCGTAATATCTGGACTGTATCATTCATACTCTAACGATACATGTGACCAGCATTGGTTGTCACCCGAATGGAACTTGGTCATCCATTTTGATTCCATTATTTCTTTGATCAGCGTAAGGAACGATGCTCGTGTCCAAAGCAAACGTTAAATATAGAGAAGCATAGGTACCTTCATGAAATCGCTAAAAAAAAAAAAAAAAAAAAAAAAAAAGCATAGCATGAAGAGAAAGAAGCCCAAATTGACGAAAACAAAATCTTATCGTCTAAATGTTTATGTTATTATTAAGAGGAAAAATCAAAGTATTTGGGGGGTATTTTTTTTTACAATCTCATGAAGGTACCTACAGAAGCACAATCTAAATCCCCGTATCTTATAGACGACAATAAGCTAAGATATCGAGGAATTAAATAACCAAAAGATTAATTGCAGTTGTCTGCACTTACCTGAAGATAGCACATCGAAGTTTTAAAAATGTTTTTCCACAATCCAATAGACATTCGCAGTTGCAGAGATTATAGCGGCAGCCATATTGTTTTCGATATTTATTGTATTTAGAATACAATTAAGGCACGTGGTCAGAGGGGGAGGAGTAGTTGAGGCTGGTCCACATTAACTATCTTTTACCTAGCTAATCCGATTCACGACCCATTCAATTTGCCCATTCACCACAAAAACTAGCCATATTGTTATCTGCTAGAAAACGGAAATGGCTTTTAATAAATAACACAAATTTATTTTCCACTACCGAAAAATAGGTATCAAAATATATGAAGGAGAAACTAAAAATTACTGGTCTGGTGTATGTCTATGTGGCAGAGAGAGGAGTGGACTCTACCAACTGTTTGTTTATGGTGAATAATTACAGTGTCTTGTGTTCGACTTCTGACCGATCACTAAACCTTTTAGTAAAACAGTCCGACTTCTTTAATCCGGCACCATTGGTACCGGGTATTTGATAAAAAATCGCCTGAGGAGACCGTAAGATTGAAACCAAGGTAGCGGATTCAACCAATCTTCTGATTTTTATAGTTGAAAGCTCTATATGTTATCTTTAATTTTATTTTATTTTTACACACGTGTATTGAGCATTTTTTTAATACCACTGTTTCTTGGTCTGATTCAGCTCTGACTATTAACCTCTTATATATATATATATATATATATATATATATATAGTTAATTCATGGTGTCTAGAAGAATCCTCAACAGAATACAGAAATCTTAAAGAATCCTAATAATTTCAGTGTTTATATATATATATATATATATATATATATATATATATATATATATATATATAATGTAAAGAGAGAGGAGGGGAATTATTTCTTTTGTTTTATGGTTTTTCTTTTTAAAGGTTATTTAATGTTAGAAATATATTTAGATTGTAATAACTCTTTGTGAGAAAACAATGATTTACTGCTGCAAGTCCCACTAATTAACCCATAGCAAGGGTATTTACGCATAAATGAATATAACGAACCCAACGCGAATTAGAACTTGGCTCTCCGATTTCAAATTCCGATCCATTATCCTTTACATCATCCGCACATCCAAGCTTATCAAACCCGACATTCCCGAGTGTTCACCCATCTCAGAACTGACCAGGCTCGACCTTGCTTAACTTCTGTGATCATACGAGAACCGGTGTTTTAACGTGATAGGACTGTAAGTCTATAAAAGAAAAAAATGGATTTGATTTTTTAATCCAACATTATTTCATATTGCTTTAAATGTTGTATTTTATTGAAGACATGTGTTTGAGTAAACGCTGTTTTATCTGTCTTTTTTTTTTAAATAGCGTAAATTACATCTACTGGCATGTGTATTCGAGAGGCTTCATAAAGAAAATTTGTCTTCTGGTAGGGATCGAACCTGCGAACCAATTTGTTGGGAAATACACCGTCTTTTCAGGTGTGCTTTAGCCTTATAAGCTACAGAGAGCTTTACAGCTCATCAAAGTTCAAGTACCCTTCTAAGGGATGCACAACTTATCATTAAGATCTCGAAAACCCATATGTACTCACTTCATTGTTAGATTGGAAACGTAAATAAAGTAATTTCTAAGGAATTAATGGATTTTTATTTTTAATCTGACATTATTTCTTATTAGTTTAAAAGGTATATTATAGTGGATACGCATATTTGAGTAGACGCCCTGTTTCTTTTCTTTCTTTTTTTTTTTAACTGTGTTAATTAAATCTGCCGGCACTCTCCAATGTACAAAGCAGATGATGTAATTCACTCTCTTTCTAAAATCATGAGCGTCTACTCATCAAAATTTTGGAATTCATTTTTTCGGGGGTGGGGACCAGAAATTTTCAACTCCCTCGCGGATATATTCTCTGAAAATCTCAGATTGTATCACTGATTTCCAAGAGTGAAAATACTTTTTGTCACACAGTGACTGATTTGTTTATTTAACGGCATATTGAATCGGTTATTTAATACCGAAATTTAATTTTCTTGAGAGCTTTGAAGTAATAAATATATGATAGGTTATTCTGCCTTCACAGTTGAATACATGGTAGATGATATTCAGATTTTGTACATATAGATGTTTGTGTGGACATGATTACTAGAGGTGGTGATTTCTGGTTTATGCTGTAGTTTTGTTGAAGTTATATTTTGGGATACCGTTTGATTTAAAAAATTATCGGATATTTTATGGGTTCTTTCATGTGAGTTGTTTAGTTGGTTTTGTTTAGCGTTATATTAGCCATAATGGATTATTTAATGCCAAAATCTAAATAATCCGAACACAATTTTATGGCTTCAATATATTTTGAACACAACTGTATGCCTGGTGGACTCTCCCGTCGTATTCGACGTATGAGGATCAATCAGCTCAGTTCCTAGGAACCGACAGCCAGACACCAGCACATATGATTTGATTATAGTGGTGAAGGCTCTCTGCAGAACCATCCACACTTTTTGAAAGGCCGAATACAGAGACCTGGTGCACAAGGTCCCCAAACGACTTTCCGCAGGTTTTGAATTCAGAGGTGTCCTTCTCCTAGACAAATTGCCATCCAAGCCTAGAGAACCCAGTCTTACCCGTAGCTGGTGGGAGAAGAGGATTAATACCTTTCCCGAGGGTACTAGCACATAAGTGAATGTAATGGATTCGACTGGAATTCGAACTCGGCTCTCCGATTCCTCAAATAAAATGTGTCGTTGGTCATTTTTCTATAAATACGTATTGTTGGTATTTTTATAAAAAAAAAATGTACTGTTGTATTTTTTACTATAAAATTTTTTTTAAACTTTCATAGTGTTTTGCTTTTTCTTTTTTTGAGGGTTGACTATTTGTCCATAGCTGCGACCCTAACAGATTCTGCCACCCCGGGTCAGGGTGAACCTTGAAAGAAAAGCAATTAAGATTTGGTTCCACGCTCCTCAAAGCATCCAATCTCCAAATCAGAGGTTTTGCTGTCGGATTTTGGAACAATTAACAATGTTTTATGTATTGATTTGTCTTAATTTTCTTACATTTTCGTAATCCGAAAAGAAAGAAAATATACTTGGAATAAACAAAGTAACAGGTATAAAAAAAAAAAAAAAAGCGGATACAATTTACAAGAATTTACAAGGTTTAAACAAATTGAATCAGCGGTTGTAATGAAGTCATTGCTAGAGCCTCTTTATCTGCTTTCAAAAATCAAACGTTTGAATCAATCACAAATAGAATAAAAATAAAACTCCAAAAGAAAACGAGCGAGAAAAACGATTTTTCTTTTGGAAAGATACTGATAGAATTTGTCATTTGTGTTTGTATGTGACTGATGTCTTTTTAATGATTATTCGTCGGTCTTTTTTCTACGCTCTTGTCTGAATCATGATATATAAAAGTAAAATATTAAAAATATAATTATAGAAAGAAAAAGTTGGAAATCCTAATTACACGTTACAAGGACAGCAAAAGTATTTCGAAATGAGACGGACAGTTTTCTTCTTATTTTTCAACAACTATTTGAATTAAATTTAGTATTCATTCTGCTATAACTCAACTCACGATGTTTTATCCCGCCATGACGTTGTGTAATAACGATCTTTTAATTTTACGATTAACCATCAAATTTTTACTGTATTGAGTCTTCAAAAGCTTTCGTTTTTTGCTAACTGCTAATTTGATTAAATTCGGTGCTCACTTTGTAATTGTAAAGAAAGGTATTTGATTTGAAGTCAGGTAACAAAGATTCGTTTCTTTCTCTCAAAAATTTAAAAAAAAATCATCATATTCCTGGTATATCGAACTAAATATACCCTTTTTTTGTTGTTCTCATAGGGATTTCCTAAATCTTTTAATCCATTTTAAATTGTATTTCTAAGATCTTTTCTAGGAACAATGTTTTTAACGGATCGTTATTAAATACAGTTGGGCCTTTCAAATGTATTTTCTTAAACAGCATTGACATTCGGCCGTGTAGTCCTTCTTTATGTGTCGTGCCCCCTCAAGACGTAGGCGACTATGGATCTTCATAGCTTCCTGCCTCTTTTTAAACTTTGTCTTTCTGCCATTTCTCCTGAACCCTGTTCCACCATCCATTTATCTAAGCTTATTACGTATGGTATGCGTTGTTTTCCTCTGTCTGTCTTGCTCTCTCTCTGTCCCGTGTGTATCAGGTTTTCTAAGCCTCCCTTCCTCATCATGTGCCCCAGAAGCCTCAATTGTTAAGTTAAGTATAACTTTTGATTTTGTTTCCATTTTCTCTAAGACTTCGTCGTTCGGTGCGTGGTATCCTCGTTACCCTTCTGTAGAACCACTTTTCTGTTGCTTCAAGTTTCTCCTTCATCTTTGAAGAGAGTGTCCATTACTCACTGCTGTAGATGAGAACAGATGTCGCTTAACAGTAGTAAAAGAGTAATACTCTACATTGTTTCTAGCGAAGTTTTTTTTTCTGTTTCTTATTACTCAGCTTAGCTTTTGGTATCCGAATACGCCTTCGGATTTCAGTGTCACGCTTTCCGTACTCTGTCAACCCACTTCCAAAATATTTAAATTTACACACTTGTTTGATTTTGATAGCTACGATTTATAACTAGCAATTTGGGTTCACCCCTTTTGCTAACAATTATGCACGATGTATTCTTACAGTTGATATTTAATCCTTTTTTTCTCGCTTTCCTTCACTACCTTCTGTAGAAATTTTTGTTGCTTTCCTTCAGTGTCTGATATCAACACTGTGTCATCTGGATACCTTTATGCTGTTAAGATTGTGGTCGCTAATAATGAAACTTGAGAGGACTTCTAGTTCTCTCAGAATCGCCTCACTGTATAGGCTGAATAAGTCTGGCGAGTAGACGCATCCTTGTCTTACGTACCTTTCTATTTTTTTAATATCTGCTGAACTCGTTTTCTATCTGTATGCGGACGTTATAGGGATCTGTGTACACTAATATCAATTCCCAAATATATCAAGGTTGCTGATTGGTTCCAAAATATGTGTGTGGCTACACGTTCTTCTGTATTTGTATTGATCTTTCTGATAACATTCTGGGCCTAAATATCGCTTTCCTTGTTTTGATGTCTTCAACGAAGCCGCGCTGTTCTTGTCCTATTTCCGGTATGATTCTGCTGCGCGTTTTATTCATCTGAATTCGGATGATCAGTTTCTTTATTCGGCTCATTAAGCTGATTGTCTGAGGGGTTTCGCGTTCTTTTGCACCTGGTTTCTTAGGCAGTGCTATGAAAATAGATCTAGGTCTTCCGGTATATCAGCACTTTTGTTTTCACTGTTTACATTGTTCGGACTGTTATCTTCATCTTCTTTGCCATATTCGTTTCGGCTGTTGTACGCTCCGGCCTTCTTCAGGTGATTGTAATTTCGAATTGAACCCTTTATTTCGTCCACCGAGGTAGATTGTTCTATTTCTACGTGCTACGCGTCTTCCGGATGTCTCAGTAGCAGTTATCTCCTTTTAACACAAATCTCCAATTTTTTTTTCCACCTCTGCTGTAGCCAGGTATTGAACTCGTCTAAGGCCTCCAGCATCTATATTACAATTCCGTCTGGCCCTACCACTTTGTTTCTGTTCAGTTTGGCCAATGTTGCTTCCACTTCAAATTTTAATATTTCCGATCCGTTGATATTTGTTTATATTGCCGGTTGTTCTCTTTCGTCGTATATTCGTTCCATCTCTGAAGTATCTTTTCTTTCTCTAATATCAGCACCCCTCTCCTTGGACTTATAGGAAAATCCAGTAACTATGACTACCGTATGGATCGACTATGGTGCGATTTTTAATGACCAGTTTTTCACGCAAAAAATTGGGGGTTGCACTATACACGAATAATTTTTTTTGAAGACCAGTTGCAATATAACCACGTAATTTTTTTCTTGGGAAGTGGTTAAAATTCAGCAGGTCGCACTATAACTGAAGTCGTCTTATACACAAGTATATATGGTAAACCATTATTTGGTGTATGAAACGGAACTTCACGATCAAACAAATAGCGACAAAGAAATACCCACGTGTGGTTTAAATATAAATTGTCCATACCTGAAGAATTTATGCTGGAGTCTTTTTGAGAACAATGAAACGTGACCAGTCTATGGAAATTGCATGTGAAGTCGTTGACATGACCCCCCCACCCTCCCGCTGACTTCGCCCTATCAAATGGAAATAAAATAAGAGAAGAGAAAAAAGGGGGGAAGGGGGGA